AGAGAGAGAGAGAGAGAGAGAGAGAGAGGGAAAAGTTCACTTCGGCGTGCCAGTTGTATGGCCGGTCCTGCCCACATCTGCTTTTCATTTTTTGTTTCATTTTTTTTCTTTTTGCGTTTGTTTTCGGGGGAGTCGCCCTCCCCCTCCACTGTACATAGAGCCGACGGCACGGAAGCAACACCGAAGCTGAGAAGGGAGGGACGCGAGCCTGCGCACGGGGCTCGGGGCCTCTCTCACGGGATGAGGTGCAGTTTGCCATCCATCTTCTGCTGTCGCGCGAGGAGTGTGGCACGCTCGCGTCCTATCCGCTCCTCTATTTGCCGCAGGACTGAAATGCGCTGCGCCGCGTAGGCCTCATCCCGACACGCCGCCACGGGCACGCGTGATTCCCGCAGTAGCGTCTGCAGGGACTCGTCCTGCACGCGCCGCATAATGCGCCGCAGCGACGGGTAGGGCTCGCTGTACGCCAGCCGCCACCCCGCCTCCTCCGCTGCCGCGTCTCCCGCAGCCACCGCCGGCGCCGTGACGGCGCCCACGTCTCCCCCCGAAGTTGCTGTTGCCTCCCCGGCCTCGGAGGAGGCGGGGCGGTGCGTGTCATCCTCCGCTTCCGCCTCCGCCGCGTGGGCCCCCGGCAGCCGCAGTGCACGCTGGCGGAGGAGGTGCTGCCGCGCGTACGAGACGCGGAACCGCGTCGCCAGGGCGGCGGCCGCGTCCCCCTCCTGCGACGGCGACGGCGGCTGCGGCTCCGCCTCCTCCTCCCCGCCGTCGTCCGCCTCGGCTGCGCGCGCCCCGGCGGGTTCGCCGTCCACCATCTCGCCGAGGAGTGCGGCGATTTGCCTGCTGTACGTGGCGAACAGCTCCCGCCGCACCTGATCCGCCTTAAGGAGACTCATCTCGGTCGCCGCCTTTCCCTGCGGCGCGCCACGTGAAGGAGAAACCGAAGCTTCAGAAAAAAACAAGCGATGGTAAAAAAAGAAAGGGGAAAAAAAGACGCAGCGATATGTGGGAGACACTGGCAGTTTGGATTCCATGCACAGACACCTGGCGCGAAGGCCGCCTCCTTTTTCTCCTCCCCTCCCCAAACACGTCCCCACTCCCTTCCACTCTCGTGCTTCCCCCTGCTTATCTTGTTTTCCTCATCAGCCCTTTCCCTCTCTCTCTCTATCTCTATCTTCTCTATATATATACATATATACTTGCAGATACTGTGTGCAGGGTGTGTGTGTGTGTATTAGTGTGTACCCTACGGTGGACGCCCGCGCAGCTCCGCATATGCACACACACACGCACGTTCACGCACACAGTGACAAAGATATATATATATATCTAACGAGAGAGAGAGCTGAAGGGAGAAGAAGAGTCACGACTACCGTAAGACGCTGCACGCACGTAAGACACGTGTGCATCACGTCGAGGCAGGGGACACCTCCCTGTGTATGCATGCATAGGGCCCTTTTGTGCATTGCACCCAACTGTGATCGCAACGCCCACACATCAAGCGGAAGAAGCAGCAAGACTTGCGGCATCAGCATTCTTCCTCCTCCTCCGCCACCGCGCTTTCCTCGTGCTCCGCAAGGGACGAGTCAACGTGGAGGTCAGACGGAAGGCCCATCGCCTCCGACAGCCTTGTCACGTGTCGGGCACTGCACACCGCAAGAGTACGCAAGGACGGCAGCAGCGCAAGCTGCTCCTCGTGGTGTTGCACCAATTCAAGTGTTTCCAGGGCGCCATTGCGAAGCGCCTGCAGTCCCTCGTGCATCTGGCAGAGTTGCTCCAGCAGAAAGAGCAGGACGCCGTCTAAGCCTGTCAGCTCCTCAGCCGAGACGTTCGACTCCCGCAGCAGCGCGGTGGGTGCCGCCTCCCGCACGAAGAGCTTCACGCACTCTTCGATGCCATCGCGAAGCGTTTCAAATGCATCCGCGGTGGAGCACGCGGCGGCGTCCGTCTTCGCCTCCAACACCTCGACACGCTCCGTCACCTGCGACTTCCACGCCTCCGTCTCGTTGTTGACATCGTCGTCACGTCGTCGTCGTCGTCGTCCTTCGTCGGGTCTGCGGCCCGCATGGCAACTTCCTTCCGCAGCGCTGCTTGCTCCTCCTTCAACTCTCGCAGCGTAAACAGCATGGAGCGTGTCTGCAGTTCCAACTCCGCAGAGGCGCTCTGCAGCGCCGCCGCGCGCTCGTCAAACTGCATTGAAAGCAGATCCACCTCGCGCTTGCAGTCCTTAAAGCCCTCCTCCCGCCCGCGTCTGCACACCTCCGCCGCCGTCACCGCCTGCGACTCCAGCGCGGCCAGCCGATCGGCGTGGTGGCGCTGCGAGGACTCGCACTTCTCCATTCGCTGGGTTGACTCACGCGCGTGGGTGTCGCAACGGGCGTCCAACTCGCCGAGTCGCTGCTCTGCCTGCTGAACCTTCTGCTTTACGCGCGCCATGGCGTCGGCCGTCTCGCTGCATGGCGCAAAGACACCCCGCAACGCCTCAGCCACCTCTCTTAGAAGCTCCTCGTCGTCGCAGATGGCGGACACGAGACGCCTTGGGCCTAATGCTTCACGCAGGCAGTCTATTTGCGTTCGCAGGCGCTGCGTCTCCCCCTGTGTCGCCGCCTCCACGCGCTGAGAGCGGTCCTCCGCCTCCTCGCCAAGCATTGCACGCAACTTCTGCATCTGTGACGCGGTGTCCTCACGCAGGCGATGCAAGAGGCGTCTGACGCCCTCCACATCCTCCTGCATGCTCGCACGTATCTGCTGCTCCCAGTCCTCCCGCACACTGGCGGTGTTTCGCTGCGTATCCTCCACAAGACGCCGCAATTTTTCCATCTCGCGTTCTGTTTCTTCGTGCGGGGGCGCGGTCACCGCCGGCACGGAGGCAGCCGGCGATGCCTTGGCGTCCTCCCGCAACTGGCGCGCCACCGCGTCGACTCTGCCCTCCACAGCCAGCACCCTTTCCGTGAGCTCCCCCGAGAGCGTGTCCAGCGCATTCTTGGCGGCAAAACACTCGTCGTGTGCCTTCACGGATGCCTTGAGGCTGTCGACGCGTGTTCGCAGTCCAGTTACGGCCGTGCTGCTCTCCTGCTGGGCTTCACGCACGGCCTGAAGAACGCGTTCCTCCACGCTCTGCATCCCACTCGAGATCTCACGCCGAAGGTCGGAGAACTGCCGAGCGTTGGTCTTCGCCAGGGAGGAGATGTCGGCCGGAAGCTGTTCCTGCCGCTTCTGCAGTTCCGCGACGGCCTGTGACGTTTCTTCTAGCTTAGGGAGGCACACCTCCTGCACTGTCCGGTGCACCGCGTCTAGCCGCGCGGCCAGCGGCGTCACGGTGGTTTGGCACGTATTCGTGAGCTCATCAAGCACCGCACGCGCGGCGGCCTGGTGTGCCTCGGCGGCAATTAACTTCTCGCTCAACTGGCGAACCTGAACGGTGCTTCTCTCGTGCTCGTGTGTGAGTCTCTGCAGGTCTACGTTGGTGCGAACGAGGCCTTCCCGTACTGCGTCCTCCGCCTTTTGGGCGCAGGCAGCGAAGTCGTTCGCCACGGCCCGCGCCTCCTCTCCCGCCACGAGGGCCTCGCGGATGCGCTGCCCACACTTCTCCACCTCCCCTTTCGCCCCCGCCGCGAGCTGGTCGACACGGGCGACCTCCCGCTGCACCTCCTCCGTGGCGTCTTGAAGCCCATTCAGGCGCTCCTCCAGCTGCGTCACCTGCTTGTGATGCCTCTCGGCGTCGGCGTCGTGCGCCCGCAGGGCCGCAGCGAGGCGATTCCGCACGGCGGCGCACTGCTGCTCGAGTCGCCCCTCCGCGGCTGTGACGGCCGCCACGATTTCCTCCCTGTTGGCTGTGCCCTGACGCGCCTCGGCGATGCGCTCGGCCACGGCGGACTCGAGGGCGAGCCGGGCAGCGGCGGCGCGCTCCTCCGCCGCCTGTGCGTTCTGCGCGATGCCCTCCCGCATCTCGCGCCGCGACGCCTCCACCTCCCGCTCCAACGCCGTCAGCTTCTGCGTGAGGCGCCGCTCCACGTCGCCAAGGGCGCTCGCGTGCTTTTGGCTGCCTTGCGAAACGACCTCCACCGCGGTGCTAACCTCCTGCACACGCCGCAGGAGATCCTCTTCTAGTTTGTGAAACAGCCTCTCCGTGGCGGTCGCGACCTCGGCGGTGACCCCGCTGGACTGCATCACCTTCTGCAGCTCGCCGTTAAACATGCCCTGCACCGCCGCAAGGCGCAGCCGCAGCAGATCCTCGACGGAGTCCCTGGCGGTCTCCCGGGCAACCGACCGCACCCGCTCGATACCGGCGTCTACCCGCACCCCCACCATCTCACGGAGGACGCCGTCCAGTCGTGTTTGCCGATCCTCCAGCAGTCGCCGCTGCCGCGTCACGGTGGACTCCAGCTCCTCCACGCGTTTTACGAGACCGGCCGGGGCGGAAGCCGCCGCAGTCGCCGCAGCGTCACCGGCCTCGACAGCGATGGCCACATCCGCGCGGCCAGAGGGCGCAACGGCGGCGCTCGACGCCAGTCGTCGCTCCAGAAGCCGGACGGTCTCCGTCAGGTACTCGTTTTCCCTCTTGAGCTGCTGAAACATCGCTTTCAGCTCCCCTACCTGGATGCTGACGTGCCGCTGCACATCACGGACGCCGTCGGCGCGCACAACTCGCTCGGTCTCTAGCTCTGTCATGCAATTCTTCACCTCCGACTGCAGACAAATGAACTTGTCGGCGAGCTCGGCCTGTGATGAGGGGAGGTGCGGCGGGAGGCCCAGCGGCGACACGTGCGGGGCGTCAAAGGCGGCGGCGAGCAACTTCCGCGAAGCCTCGTGCTTTGCCTGTCGTCCACGCAGGCGCTGCAGCGCCGCCTCGGAGGAGCGGATGTCGTCTTGGAGGGACGTCCTCCAGTGAGCATCCATGGAGCTCATTCGCCTTGCCTATCAGGAATGAACCTTGCGGGGGGACGCAACGGGGAGCACAGAGGGAGAGCAAGCGAGAAAAAGGAAGGATGGGTGACAAACAAACGAAAAGGCGCAGTGTGGCGGCGCCTGTACACAACGGAGGTCTCATGCATCATCGCCCCCAAAGAAAAAAGAAAAGTACTCTTGCGGCGTACACTGGGGTGTGCAGTGCACAGACTTCCACACGCATAGACACTTGGGGCGCAGAGGAAAGGGCAGAAAAGGGGGTTTGCAAGTTTCCCCGAAGATAAGCAAATAAATACACACACACACACACACACACACACACACTGGTGTCGTGGATAAAGGCGTGCACGGGAACCAGGCCACCGCACGAGCTTCGTCTTCTTTATTTTTGGACAGCTGTGAGGATGCCGTTTGGTGAACGGGGTCGCAAAAGCGCTGCAGGGAGAGAGCGCGAGTGAGTTTCACATGGAGAAGACATCGTCCTCAACGAATTCCGACGCCGCCGCACACCCTGCTGTGCCTCGCAGCATGAACTGCGGCCGTTGCGACTGACAGGCGTACGCCGCCTCTCCCTTGTCGGCCACCCCAGCCGCCTCTTCCTCCACCTCCCACGTGCACGGCGTCATGGATGGGGAGTCAGCGCCAAGCACGAGTCCAAAGCGGGCAGAAGAAGCCGCCGCCGACTTCTGCAAGCGGGGTTGTTTGTGAACGGAGTGACGTCGAGGCGTGGGAGGTGCCCCCACACTTTGCACCTCTTGTAGAATTGACGCCGCATCACGAATCGCTGCCGCCATGGCGCGCACCTCGGCGGTGAGGCCATGCAGCGCCGTCACCTGGGCCTGCTGGGTGTCCACCAGGGCAGGGATGTGAGAGAGGCTCTGCGAGCTGGCAGCCAGATGCTTTTCCTGCTGCTGCATAGACTGCACCAGGGCAAGAAGCGCCGACGCTGCCTCTTTGTGATGCTGTGACGTCTGCGAGAGTGTGGCCTGCAGAGAGGCAGCATCGCCCACCTGCAGCTGCGTGAGCGGCGCCGCACTCGTCGTCGGTGTGGGCGCCGCGTGCATCGACATCTGTGAGCCCCGCGACGGCTCTGTGGTGGGCGGAGGCGCCAGCCACGACCGCCGAAGCGTCGCCGGTAGCGAGTAGACGCCTGCCGCAGCCGCGGCGTTACACGAGGCCGCGCCGCGGCGCAGTTGGGTGCTGCGCTGCGTGTGAATATCCGCCTGCGTCCCCATTGGCGTGGTGGCAAATGAGTCGCACGGGGTGGTGGCGCAGTGACGCTCCGCCGCGGCACCCCCACGGCGCAGCGGCGCCACACGATGATGCGCGGCGTACATGCAGGCCCCCCCACCACCTTTTTTTTTTAAAAAAAGCTTTTTTTGCTTCGCTTCTGCTTTTCTACCCCCCTGCTGCCCTCGGTGCGGGGCACCCGGCCGGGAGGGGAATTCGGCAAGGGAGAAAAAAAGCGGCAGCTAACAGCCTCCATGTCGGGCGCCGCCCTGCTGCCACCGCGGCACACAGCGGGGAGGGGGGCACGGCAAAAACTGTGAGGGAGCCCACCACCCCGCAACACCCGCACACGCACGCAAATAGTGGGAGAGGGCGGGGAAGCGGGGGGGGGGGGAAATTGGGACGTGGTAAGTTCACATCGTATTCCAGAAAGGAAAAAGAATAAAAGAAGGAACTTACCATCAAGGCTTAAACAAAAAAAAGGCACCGCGAATACGGCGACTGCGCCCCAGGCAAAGACGGCGCTTAGAGCGGGGAGAATGTGAGGGTCTCGCGCCCCGTGCACCACGCCCATAACTGCTGCGCCACGTACGCGATGCGTCGCGTGCACGGAAGGGACGGGGGGCCAGACATGTGCGGCTCCAACTGGGGCGGTCCGCCATCCAGGCGGTTTGGTCGCCCCGGGAAGACGATCCATCCCCGACACGCCACCGAGTCGGGGTCACGGACATAGTAGCGACCATCCACGCGCTCCAGGGGAAACTCGGCGGAGAAGGCGTTCTCGCCCCAGTGATGAAAGAAGCGGTTCTGGTCGGCCACCTGCACACTCGTCGAGGTAACCTGCGTGATGACGCCCACGTGGCCCACAATGTTTTTCCTGGAGCCAGGGTAAACAATGAGGCTGTCGGCCTCCGGAGGCTCCGTTGAGCCCTGCGGAATGAAGCGGCACGGCACGGCGGCCCCGGTGCACACGTCCCGCACCTCCTGCAGGTGGATCAGGTGGGCGGCAAAGTCGTACTGCGGCAGCGCCAGGCCTTTGCGGTGGAACAACCAACGCCTGGCAAATTCCACGCACTGCCACTTGTATCCCATGAAGTAGTGCTGCTCGTAGTGGCGCTCGGCGGTGAAGGTGCCATCCGTGCCGTTGCTGTAGGCGGGGATGCAGCCGGGCGCGTAGCCGCAGACGCCATGAAGCGGGACGCGCCGCAGCGACTGCCCCGCCAGTTTGGCGGGGGACACGCACATGACGGGGCAGCGGCGACCGCCCTCCCCCTCCCCCCGCGCAGCTCTCGTTCTCTCTCGCTCTCCCACTCCCCTCCCCACGCTAAGAGCCGCGGATGCTGCGCAAACTGCGGGCCGTGACGGCAGAGAGAAGCCTCAGCAGAAAACAAAATAAGAGGTTAAAAAAAAGGAGAAGTAAGCAGTGAGCCTGCACGTTGAAAAGAGACAAGGGTTGCATCACGAAAGCGCGCACAATGTCGCTCTCGTGATTCTCTCTATTTCTGCCATAGCCACTTGGTATCTTTGCCTTGTCTCCGTTGCCGTCCTCCTCGCACGCCTCCCCCGCCGGGACGCGCCCAACGTCCACGACGGGGCGGCAAACAATTCCAAGCACCCACGCAAAAAAAAAAGAAAAAAAAAGAAACGCCCCCTTCGCGTCCTGCTCACGCGTGCACGCGCACTGGAGGCAAACAAAAACACAGTGAGGCATCGTGGCGAACGCACACAATTTGCCCACACTCCCGCAAGGCAAACACACACATAAACGCGCGCGCACAATTACATAAATATGTGCAGCTGGGTGCAGATGCGGGTCTGCCGCACGTCTTATTTCGTTTCCCACTTATCCGTCACCTCACCGCACCTGACGGAGTTAGCCCCCCGCGGGCTAAAAAAGAAAAAAAACACGCAAACAAAGAACAGACGCCTCGGCTCTGGGCAATACAAAAAAAAACATGGCACCAAAGTCCCCTGAAGCAAGCACAGCAAGTCTGCAGCAACCAACCAATGCACCACAGATAACGCGGAGAGATGGGAAGACTGCAATAACTCTGGGTGCACTGGGGTGTGTCATCTCCATGGACACCGCAAATGGTGGGGAGTGAAGAGAGGGGGGGGGACATAAAGAAAAAACGGCCAAATAACAATAATGAAGCAAATATATATAAATATATAACGGCACGCACTCGAGAGGATGAAAGAGAACACAAGTTTGTGCCATGCAATTATACATACGTAGATACACACATGCAGCCTTGTGTATGTGTGTGTGAGTCTCACACGGTCTTTAGCACCGCACTGATGCGCTTCCTGGCAATTGCACTGAAGGGCAGCATGGAGCCAATCACTGCGGCGACGACGCTGAGGCCAAAAACCACACCGCCCAACGCGTAGGGTAAACTGAAGCGGAAGGGCAGCACCATGAGCTCCACTAGCTGAAGTCCCAGCGCCACGCCCACGAGCACACCCACAATTAAGCCGATCAGAAAGGCGGAAAGGACGATGCTGAGGGCCTCGTAGAGGATGGCGCGGGCAAGTTCCCACTTACGGCACCCCACAGCCTCTAGCAGCACAAACGTTCGTGCGTTTAGGCGCACGTTTGCCACAAAAGTTATCCACACCATTAGCGCGCAGAGGGAGATGCATATCACGGAGGTGAAGTAGAAGAAAGCCATGATGAACTCGCGGATGACCCGCAACTGCTCCGTCAACGCCTGCGTGTCGCTGGCCGAGTGATACATCAAGTTCAAGCGTGCCTGAATCTCGTTCACAAAGGCAATACGTTCTGCCGCACTGATGCCTTTGCGCAAGCGCACAAAGAGTTTCTTCTGCCTCAGCTCCGTGACGGCGCCTGGCGACAGCGTGATGTTGGCCTTCCCGCTGTAGTCAATGGTCCAGGGACTCACCAGCGTCGTAAAGTACGTCTGCGGGATCAGCACCTCGCTGTTGGGAAGCGTGGCGGGGAGCGACGCGATGTCGGGAAACCCCGGCACACGCTTCATGAGACCGCGTGGCTCGACCGCAAAGCTGGTCGTCACGAGCAGGTCCGCAACGTTGTACTTGTACTCCAGTATCATGGCGCTCCCCACCTCGGTCCCCACCTCGTCGCGGATGGACGACGCCAGCAGGGCGGGAACAATATACGCCTTCTTCGCCGAGGTGTTTGGCATCGTCGACCCCCACGGCATCCCCGTCGCAACGACTTGGGAGGCCGAGGAGGAGGGCCGAGGCGGGTGCTCGTACATGCTGCGCACCAGGTCGTACTTGCCGTCCAGCGTCCGCCGGTACTTGTACCGCGCATCCCGCGCCGCCTCCATGATGTACTCTGGAAAGACGGTGCTAAGAAACCGCTCCGACACCGCCACGATGTGCATGTCGTAGCCGTTGCCAATGACCGTCGATAGTCGTGAGGGGTGCACCACTTGCGGGTATTCGTGGAGCGGAAAGCTGTGGTACGCCCACTCCTCCACGTACACCCCACGCCGCCGCTCCAGAAAGGCGCTTAGCTCGCGCTCGTCGAGAGGCACACTAAACGCCGACGAGGTGATGGTGATGTCGGCGCCGTTAACGATGTGCGTCATGTCGTCGGAGGCGGTGGAGAGCAGCACAAACATCACACCGGAGGAGATGAGCGTCGCCACACTGACCAGCACCATCATGAAGGCCTTTGCGTTGCGGGGCCGGTGATCGTACAGGTTCTTCTTTACAATTGTCAGTAGCCGCTTCTCCCCGCCCCAGACCATCAGCCAGAGCAGACCTTGCTCCACGTACGGCTCCACCACGTACATGGCGAGGCAAATCCCCACCACCATCGTGAGAAGTACGAAGTCCAGCAGCAGGAAGAGCAGCATCATGTTGCCAAAGACGAAGCTAAAGGGAATCAGGTAGTAGACAATAAACCCTGCGACAACGAGAAAGACACCGAGGACCACCTGCCAGGTGGTAATCCCCAGTTTCTCCAACCGGACCATCACCACCCGCGTCTCATTCTGCAACTGACGGTGAACGTCAAGCGCATCGCGTAGGCTGTCTCCAAGCGCACGTGAAAGCGGGAAACAACTTGTCAGCAGCGGCAGAAAAAAGCCCAGTGCCACTGCCAACAAGATGGGAATCAATGGGACGAATATCGTGCGCGGAGCCGCAGCCGTGAATCGCGAGAGCATCTTCTCCAGAAGCGCGTTGACCCCCACCAGGAGAGCTGTCCCGAGGGACACACCGGGGATAATGAAGACAAGCGACTGTGTCATGAGGAGCGCGAAGAGTTGCCGCTTGTTCATGCCTTGGGCACGTATCATGGCAAGCTCAAACTGACGCTCGTCCGCGTTTGTGTTGAGGAGGGCGTAAAACAAGATGGCACAGAGCGCGACGTTGCCGACCACCACACAGGTGAGCGAGGAGAGAAGCATGACCTTGAGCATCTCAAAGGTGTCCAGGATGTTGGCCACGGGAAACTGCACGGAGCCGCTGAAGTCCAGCCCCACCCCGTGAAGCATGATGGCGTTGCTGCGCTCCACCATCTCCCGCGTGCGGCTATTCTCGGGGAGGTAATACATGCTGCGCCGATCCTTCATTGCGACCACGAGGACAGGCACCATTTCCAGGAGATTAAACTGAGCAAACATCTCGGGAACGCCAAGGAGGTCGGTCAGCGACGGCAGCGTCAACCCCGTGGCGGGCGAGAAGACCTGCGACCCAAGCACGCACCTCTGCTCGGCAAAGGCGGGCAGAAGCAGCTTGTAGTCCATCACCACAACGTTGCCAAAAAGCGATGGATACTTTCCACTTGCACTCTCGACGCTATCCACGACGCTCACGGCAAATTCCAGGTTCAAGACATCTAAAAGACTGAAGTAGTCCTCTGTGATGCCGTTCATAATAAAAAATTGAAGCAGCAAAAAGGAAGTCACGTCCTTGACCTTTTTGGGTCTGTAGACACGAAACAGCGAGGACTTGTTTCCGGCGTAGGGACCCTGCAGCAGAAATTGGGGGGAGACCTGAATGCTCATACGCTCCCCGAGGTTTGGACGAAGCTGCAAATATTCCAAAAGGGAGTAAAATACATGCGCCTCCGCGTATCCCGTGTCGCGGTGCTTCCACGACCGTCCAATACCGATGGCCCGCTCCTGTTCACTGTCAATGATGAGAACATTCGCGCGCGCCGTTTCCGTGGGAAGGACATCGCGGACAGTCCGCGGGCCAAATCCCGGTTGCTGCTTACTGGCGACTGCGCGAAGGAACCAGCGCGGGGCGACGCCGCGTACCTGGGGAGAACTCTCCAGGCGTGGCCTCATCTCGGTGTAGTTGATGAACGGGCTGTCGAAGCTGCCACCCATAACGACCATGTCCACCTCCCCCACACTTAACTCCGCGAGTCGCAGCAGAATGTACGGCACCTTCCAGATGCACAGCAGAACAATGCCGGTGAAGAAGGTAAGAAGAAGGACGGCCACGACACCAATTATGCAGTTGCGTGGGCGGCGCATGACGTCAGAAACCGTGTAGCGAAGGCCCAGCCGAATGGCGCTAAGCAGCAGGGAGGCGCTGAGGATAGACGACTCCGACTTTTCTCGCGAGGCATGGGTGGAGAATGGCTCCGACGGGGAGCTGCGAAAGTAAAAAGGCCTGTTCTCGTGGCGGCCCACCAGCCGTGACCCGGAGTGAGAATTCTCCGACGAGTTCGTCGAGCCACGAAGGGGCGTACGCGGCACCTCCGTCATTGGGGACGCACAGAGTGAGGGTGAGAAAAAAAAAAGACAAAAAAAAAGTGGTAGTCGCCTGCGTGTGGAAGTGGCAACTCTCCTTGCCAGCTATAAATAACTAGGAATATGTGTATATTTATATTGTATGCCGTGTGCGTATATGCTCGCTGTTTTGTCTCCGCCCCTCCACCCCGGTGGCCGTAATGTGAACCCCCTCTTCTCCCTACGGAGGGGCCTAACAGTCTCGAGAGGGTACATGAGTGGGGAAAAGCAAGCCAACAGAGAGAGGCGGATAAGTACCGCGGCGGTGCAATGCACGAGGTAGCGAGAAAGCGAGCGTGCAGGTCCCGCGGGGAGGGGCCAAGAGGAGGCATAAGATGCTTCTCACATCACATGTGTTTATACGCGCCTGCCAGCGTAGCGGGGAAAGGCTCTGAACACCACACACACATACGCACACAGAGGGAAAACAAGCCACTGCAAGCAACAACCGCCGCCGCCAGAACAAAAAGAACAACACAATATTCCAATCAGCATTAGCCATCGCGTTGCTTTACCAAGTCGAGTGCCTCCGCCATGGTGCAGGGTGGTGCCCGCGCGTACCTCTCCTCGTCCACGGCTGGCAGCCACTGACGCAGGTCTGCCGTGTGGCGATGGACGAGCATGAAGCTGCGGCACGGGTTCACCACAACGTAGCCGTGGCGCTGCAGCTCGTACAGGACAATATTCTCTGCCTTGTAGCAGTTTTGCGGGTGCCGCACACTGTCTATAAATGCCGCTTCTGCGGGCGGGCGGATGATAAAAGCGTCGTGTGATCCTCTGTACTCCGCAATGAGGGGGGCGTCCGTGCGGTGCTCGCTTTCGTACCGCGTCAACGCCACCGCGACCCGGCGCGCCGGGTCACCATCGAACAACTGCCGCAGCTCCCGCACGGACGCCCCTGTCTGTGGGAGGTAAACATCTGCGTTGCAGATCATCGTCAACTGCCCCCGCAGCAGCTGGTTGGCGTGCTGAAACAGATCCGCGTAGGTTGGCTGCACCTCGGGCCGCAGCACCGGCACGATTTTACGCCGCATGGCCTTGGACGGAAAGAAGCCATCGTCCTCGAGGACGTGCGCACGAAAGTGGCGGTACGCTTCGGCGCCCTCGATGAGGACGTGCAGCGACGCCACCTCCGCGTGTGCCGCGTTGCGGCGGAGGCAGTCCATGTACTCCGCCTGCCGCGCCGCGCGGTGCCGCAGTGAGGCCTCGCCAATAAACACGCTGCCCGGCAGCCGCTTCACCATAAAGTACGACGTCACGACGTGCATTGCGCAGGCTGAGAGGAAAGTCACGCACACGCACACGCGCACACGTCCGCCCCCCTCACCACACGAGAAGAGTAAAGCGAGAGAGCAAGCCAAAAGACAAGGGTCAAAGGAGAGAAGTCACATACGCTTGCACGCACACGTGTGCGTATATGTGTGTGCAGAGATAGCGCCCTCACGAAGAAGAGAGAAAAGGGGCGCACTCCCCCCCCCCCCAAAGAAACAAAAAAAAAAGAAAAAGTACACTTGCGCACGTACACAGAAGCAGGGGAGGGTAAAAGAGGTGCATGGAGAAAGTCAATAAAAAGAAG